CTTTGGATGTTGTTGCTCAGTTCTTCTTGTTTGCATTGACTTAGATGCAATCCCTTCTGCCTTTCTTCAGAATAGACATAGCTCATTGTTCATAACTGATTTGACTGGGGAGTGGGTGGGGGATATGAATGTAGGCAATAGCTGGAGGAAATAGGACTGACTTTGTGTTATTAAGACATACAGGAAACAAAATGGCTTGTGGCAGAAGAAAAAATTCATTTGAAAGGAAATGAAACTTTGAGCAGCAGTTTCCCAAGATGAACATTGGATTTATTTATTTATTTATTGCTTATGTGAAATCTTATATCCTGATTTAATGTTTGTACAATATTTGTTCTGTCATTAAAATTGCACAACAGCTGTGGGCACTATTATAGAGAACTCATTTTGACAAGATAACATCTGGGAGGAAATAACCATGAATCAGAGTACCATGTTGGGTTCTTCACATTGCTTTCTTCTTTTGGTGTTCCACTGCATACACAGGAGACATATAAATAGTCGAAAACATATTTATCCCCTTTTATTTAAATGGGTGCTGGCAAAAACCAAAGTAGCTTCAAGTAAAGTATCTGAGTTAAGTGCTAGCTTATTTATTGATAAACCAAAATAATATGATTAAATCTTAGTAAATACGAGTTGCATTTATTCTTCTACATGAAGCTAGAATCAGGAAACACATAATCAATTAAACATCTAGCATACTTTAAAATTACTATATAACTCTTGACACACCTTTTAGTGAATCAAAGGAGTCCATGCATATGGCAAAATGTGCTTCAACAATAAATGTCACAATAAATTTGGTAGGCATTACAGTGCTAGAGAATACAAGGTTTTTGGTTTTTTTCTGCAATTGGCATGGCTATTTTTGTGCAATACCGATCTTGTTACAACGGAAAGGAGTGATCCCATAAATCAGAGGTGCAGGTGACCCTCATCCTAATCTCAAAACCATGGGTCCTCAAACTAAGGTCCGGGGGATGGATCTGGACTACCACACCGATTTATCCAGCCTGCCATGCCCATTTGGACCCACCGTGCGTGTACTCTGCCGCCGCCGCCACCCACCTCACCCCGTGCGTGGTTTGCTTGCTCAGAGAAAACTATTTCCAAGCGAGCAAGCCGCTGCCTTGTGTGCCCGCCTGCCCCCTACCTCACCTCACCTCACCTCACCTCACCGCGCCTGCCTGCCCACGCCTCGCCTCGCCTCGTTGTGCACCCTACCCCCGCCTAATTGCGTGTGTCCACCCACGCCGGCCCACGCATGCCGCCGGCACCATCTTTCTGGCCCATGCCCAGCACTGGCAGCTTTCAGCTGGCCCTCTGGTGGAAAAGTTTGAGGACCCCTGCTCAAAACCCTTTCACATGCAAACACTTCATACCTCTGGCAAAACTGATCTGTGCTTCCCCTGGCATCCTGACAGGTAGAAAGGAAGAGGGAGAGAGAAAAGGTGAACTTACCAACTTTAGACTTTGGGTCTGCCCACTGCCATCATGTGCCCTCTGATGGATTACCCATGGGAAATGCAGCCCTTCGCCTTAAAAAAAAAAAAAAAAGGCCCAGCCCTGCTGTAAAATGAAAATCATTCAAAATGACTAGATAAAATTCTGGATTGTTAGAAATAGGAGAACAAATATAAAATTGTTAGTAATTTAAATGGTTTTAATGGTCATCACCATGGTCAATATATTTCTGTACTATATTTATTCACGGAAAAACCAAGGAATAATATCCAGTTAATACCCTCTGTTGTTAATGCAGTTCTATTAACTTTCCCATGAGTAGTGGATTCTCCATACTGCAGTACTTCAGTGAGTGATTTAAGGGGTTATTTATAAAATCTGGCTTTTTGATTTGAATCTTGTATTAGTATTTTTAAAATCAAGTCTGTGTTGGAGGAAAGAGAAGGAAATGGAGTGTGTCTCTCTCAGGAACCAAGCATGTCAGAGCTTTATAAGGAATGGTAACAGCTTTTGCTGTATTTGCCAAATCAAATACTTAGAATAATGGAGTCTAGTATACTCCAACACTATCATATTGTTTTGCTTTTGAGAGCACAGTAATTCTCTTTAGAACAAATAGAGGAGAAGCATGGAAGTGATTAGGAAACTCTAATATCAACTCTAGGAGTTCCTATCACATAGTATTTTCTGAGCAGCCTGGATAAATTTGTAGCTTAAAGAATAGTTTAGATGAATTATTATAAGGACAGAATTCTGCAGCTTATAAATGAAGGAAATAAAGATGCTGTGACCCTTCTGTCTCATCCCAGTATCATCTCTGTTCCTGAAATTATGCCTCATCTAACAATGATATACTGGACCTCAGTTAGGTGTTGTGACAACATCAACCCACTGCTGGAATTGTAATCAAACTAATTTAATTCTCAGGATCTGGCAATATCCAGCCATTTCCACCACATGGCAAGGTTCTGACAATGCACACAAATTTAGTGCTTAGCACAATCTATGGGATTTATTTTTTGCCTATTTGAAGCTATTTATCTATCCCAGACTTGGTGTATGATGTTGCTAGTTCATACTCTGGGGGTCTAGACAGTAATCCTATCACTGATATGTGCATGTCACCATGAAGAACAGTAAACCAACAAGGTTTTCCTAAAGTCTCCCTAAGCACAATCCTACTTCTCCTCTGCTACTCTGTAAAGGATTACAGTACTGTCAAAACCAAAACAAATTGCTGGTTACTTTTTCTCATCATGGACAGAATGAATAAAGACTTGGCTTGTCCGTGTTTTAGAATACTGTTTAATCAAGTGAAGGCTAAAAATCCTTGGTTGGCAGGTAGGAATTTAGCTGTTTGTTCAGAAGTTGTTTTTCACCTATTTTCTCCTTCTACAACCCTGTGTTTATCCTGTATAGAGTTCTGTTAGATGGGCATGCTTTTTAAAGTGCCCATTCCCCTTCATTAATTGTGAGCTCAGTTTGATATTTATGCTAGGATCTGATGGCAATTTCAGCTAGAAAATTCCAGGATGTGGGGATTGAAAGATTACCTTCTGCTCAAGGGCTTGCTTAGAGTGTCTTGTAAAGATGCCAACAGGCGAAATGTGATTTAGAGCATGCATTTTGCAAATCAACACCTTCATAATGGTGCTGTAAGATACAAGAATGAGATAGAAGGCTGTGCTTGCATTAATACAGTCTGCTGTGAGCAACATCACTGAGAAACCTTAGCATCTTTCTTGCAGCTGCTTGTATCTTGCCTATAAACATAGGTGAACAGGGTGAAATATTGCACTGCAAGGCACCGATTGCAGTGAACAACCTCAAATGCCAAGAATTGCATTAACCATTGTGTTAACATTCTGCTTTATTTCTGTAAAAACACGAACACCTCAACATAAAATTGCTAGTGATAGATTACTGATGTAATAAAATGTTGTAGTTCATTTTAGTAGTTTGCAAAAATGTATTGTGAAAAGCCATTGTGCAACATGGGAAAATTGAATAGTAGATCTTTGTTTAGATGTAGCTCTTTCTTTCTCCTTTAAACTGGAAGGTATTACTTGGCACTCATCTTCTCTCTCCCCCACCACATCCCAAGATTGTAAGCATAAAGCAGGCTGTCTAATGCAGATATTACCGGGTGGCTTGGTGTTCTCAGTATTGGTTTAATCCCTATTCAAACTAATGGGACCAATGCAAGAGTATGAACTAATGTAGACAAAGTGATTTTTTCTCTTTAGAAGAATATTAGAACTAAACATGAAAAATAGCACATCACAGTGCACAAATGATGGTGACTGTGCAGAAAAGATCTGTGAGCAGGAAATAAACTATTAAACTATATACCTTCTCATTTTACTTCTTTCAAGGAACCCTAGTCAGCTTACAAGATTCCCTCCCTTTCCATTTTATCATTACAACAATTCAGTAGTGTAGGATAGACTGAGAGTCAGTGACTGGCCCAAATCACCTAGTGAGCTTCATGGCCAAGTAGAGACTAGAAGCAGATCTCCTAAATCTTAATCCAGCATTCTAACAACTATGCCCAACTGGCTATCAATTTATACAAACTCTGGATAACACTGATATCACCAGGCAGCCTGAACAAGCCAATCACATAGGACTTACATAGGTACAGGCCACCTGCCTGGGAAGGGGTTTTATAGCAGCCACAATGCAGAAGCAATCTTTGATCTGGGGTCAAATTTAGTTTTCCTTGTTGTTGTGCATTATGAAACAGGCATTACTGTCTGCTTTAGAAAAGGGAGGAGAGTTATCACCTTGTCTCTCTACTGTTGGGACAAATCGACACCAGCTAAATGGGATCTTGGTGTTGAGGCACTCTCCTTTTGAATACCAAATGCTGGGGCAAAGAACAGAAGGACAATTGCATTTATGCCCTGTTTATGCAGTCACTAGAGGTTTCCTGCTGTTCAGGAGGTATCTGGCTGGCCGCTGTTGGAGACAGGATATTGGCATGTATGGATCTTGGGTCTGATTTAGCAGGAATCAAGAAAGAAAAAAAAGATAAAAAAATATTTGCCTACCACATGCCCTTTGCATGGACCCAAGTAACTCTTTGTAACCTGGCCTTGGTCTGCTGGAGAGTTTTAATAACAAATTAGGGCTTAATTTACAATAACCTTTCAGTTGAGCAAGCTTTTAGACTGTAATCTCTGCCTTACTGAAAGTTTAATGACCTATTGTCTAGGTCTAAACTGTTACAATATTTCTATAGCCTCAAATCATTTCAGGACTGTGGGTAGTTGCTTTGGCACCAATATAATTTGTAGGAGGGTTTATGCATTATGAAAAAAAAAAACTTTTATAGCAAAGTTATCTGAGTTTATTCAGTTGTTTGATAATGTAAAAGATCACAGGTAGTTTAAAAGTACAGAGGTATGTTATTTATTGAATCATGTTTTAGGTAAATGTGCCCCCTTCTTTCTCATGTGGTGATTTCAAATTCTCATGAATATGCAAATACAATGGGTAATGCATTCATTGTTTTGTTTTTTTGCACCTAGGCCCGATACAAGCAGAGTCTTGATCCTACAGTAGATGAAGTTAAGAAACTATGTACCTCATTGCGTCGAAATGCCAAGGAAGAGAGGGTTCTCTTCCACTACAATGGACATGGTGTCCCCAGGCCAACAGTGAATGGAGAAATTTGGGTCTTCAACAAGGTGGGTGATTTTCACATAAAGTTAATTCACAGAAATCTCATATTTGATTTGTTCCACATTTGGTGGAAGATTCTACCATAAAGAACAAAACATCGTTGCTTATGTTTGATCCTAGAACTTTTGCTTGTCCATTCACGGAAAGGTTAGTTAACTCAAGTTATGAACTTCTTGTATTTCTTTTTCTGTGGGGGATATAGTTATGCTTTCTGGTAAAGCTCTTTCTTTGCTTAAGTGTGTGCTAGGTATGTTAGTAAAATCCATAACAATAACAAAATGAATCCAGATTGCTCTGAGTCTAACCTGTGAGTTCCATAGCGGACTAACTTTTCCCATGTTGCATAGGCTTGTAGATTTTTTTTTCCTTTTAATTTTTTGAGGGTTGGGATTTGTGCAAATTAAGAGTTATGCTAATGCACGTTAGTGTAATTCTACAAAAGTCTTGTGTGTTCCTTTAAAAATACAGATACCCTTTAGTCTGCAAAACATAGACAGAATGGATTTAACAAAGTTTCAGTTCTGTTATAAATGTATGGAACATTAAATGCATCCACCTGCGCTTACAGTTGTGATGCTGGAAGCCACAATCTATTTTACGTTCAGAATCTGAGCTAGCATATCTCCAGACAGACCAAATCTGCCACAAGTGCTACTAGCTACCAAGATGTCTTCTCACTTTCACAGGCATGAAAGGTAGGTTATGGCTTATCATGGTTGCCAATTAACATATTCAGTACCCTGGCAATGTGAGAGAAGCATACTTTTATTCATCCAATTATTTTCTGGTTTGGGGGTAGCACCCAATTGTTTTCTGTTGCTGGGATTGTTCTTGGATGCTGTTCATATAATCCAGATCAGTTACTATATTTTGGTTTTATTGTTTCATAAACAAAAATGAAATTGTTGAGCTTGCAGTGCATTTTACAAACAAGGGGTGCAGTTTCAATTCTGAGTTTAGAGGAGCATATGGAAAAGAGGAATTACTTTATTTCAGTTCTAAAAGTGATGGAGATGGTTTATTGATCATTGAGACCGCATAGTCCCATTGATTTAAATTTAAATTTACCAGTGTTACAAATTAGTGATTTAATAATGGTTGGAGAGGAGTCATAGCTCAGCGGTAGAGCAGATGTTCTTCCTGTGGAAGTTTCCAGGTTCAGTTTCTGCCATCTCCAGTTAAAAAGGTAACAGGTGAAGGGAAGTTCTCTTTCTGCCGTTGATTCTGGAGAGCCAGTGCTCGTCAG